TGCTGGCAACGTCTTGAGCAGTCGCAAGTGTAGAGTGCCAGTCGCAGTCGCAGTCGTGAGCGCTCTCGCCGTGCCACGTCCACCAATGCGCAGCAAAACGTCACGACTACGCCCTCGTGACTACTTGAATCGACTTCAGCAACTTGCCTCGAAGAGGGGGAGAGGGAAGCTCAAGGTGATGCCACTGCAAGCCCATGTGTTGTAGCACGACTTCTCGAATGCAGTCTTTTTCCAGAGACGACTAGCCGATGTACCTACGATGTTATATAGGTCAACAACGATAGCCACAAGGGGCGAGGTGTGCGTGGAGGTGTGGATGGGTGCTGTGCCGATCGAGTATGCGCACAAACAGATGCAATCAAAACCATGACTCTTAATCTTGCAACCATCGCGTATCAATCACAATTGTGAATCATCGTTGCTCCACGTCTAATTCACAATCACGAATCTGAAATCAAGAATCGTGAATGATAGGGGCTGATGAGGGTACCTTTAATGAATGATCCGGAATACCTCTGTGTGGTGCACCCTGCTCTGGCTGCAGCGGTGCGGGGTGAATTCGAGACTTGCGGCTGCGATTCGAGAGTTGGCATGTGAGAGGAGTCTGAGCCGGAAGAGGATGATCGCGGCCGCGGGTGCATCATGTGCAGCGCACACAGAGCGCGCGCACAAGGGCACGCGAGCTCACCAATCGTGTGGCTTTCACCATGCAAAAGCTCCGTGGGCCCGTACTCGTGACTGTCACTGTCCCGTGCCACACAGTCCCAGTCCCAGTCCCCGTGTAAGATGAGCTTGACCCTGACTGCATACAGCACAGCCTTGCGCATCCCCCACTTTCAGCGCATCCCTGTCTGAACAGAGACCACACTCGAGACTGTCGTAGTGCCTGCAGGCTCAGTCACACTGCGACCGCATCTCTCTCTCTCTCTCCACATCGTCCGTCCATGCCCCGCGTTAGCTTCCACCCGTGCAGCTGCGAGCTGCCTGCTGGATGCATGCCACTTTCAACTTTGGGAACACATGCTCACACAGCGCAGTCAAGACTCGTGACTGACGAGGGACTGGTGACTGCGACTACGCTAAGTTCCCTGTCTTTACCGCCTCAACACCCCGTTCTTCTCAAACACCGATAATCGGGGCGAGTCTACACAGCTAGCAATCACCCCTACAACACTCGTGATTTCTGTTTGTCTCAACTACCATCCATCATCTATTCGTCTGCCTCTCAACAAACGCCAGCGATAGCATACACAACTGCATTTCCACAC